CTGACTGACTGGATCCTTCTGAATACATAATAATTGTTTTTGTTAACAATAATATGATGATATTCATCATCGCAATTTTCGACCATCAATAATTACTCTCTCTCTCACACACACACTCTGTCTCTGTCTTTATTGTTATTCTTTTTTTTTTCTTATTTTAGAAAAACAAAACAGTCCCATTCACTTTCTTAGTTGGTAATCCACGCAATCCATTGACTGAATCTGCACTACTTCATTCGCTGGAATATCTAAAAACTTATGACTCTAAACATATTCCCAATTTTGTGGATCATTGTCTTCGTAATGCAGGTACTGGTTGTTGTTGTTGTTATTGTTTGCTGTGCTTTTTCCATTGAATTCACAGTGTGTGTGTGTAACTCAATCTCTAGTTGTTTTTGTTTTTTCTCGTCATTTTTGATGTTACGTTGTCGGGAACAACCTTGAACGACGTAGCTCAAAATCGTTTGTAATAGCGCAGGTGCATCCATTCATTTTGTTCTCTCAAATTCTAACCTCCTGAATTCCTCATTATCTCTTTCTAAAGTTATCTCATTGAATTATACTTCTCGAATCATATGTTCTAGGTTGTAACCAACTGATTATGTTTCTAAAAGTAATTTTATTCTACATGTTACATCTTGATCAAACGGCTGTCAGTCAGTCAGTCGGTCAGATGCAACATAGAACTTCGTACGTAAGTACATCACTTCATGTTGCTATACCACTTCAATTCAAATCCAATAGTAGAAGAGGTAGTAAAGGTAGTAGAAGTAATTGGAGAGGCCAATATTTTAGAAACTATATTAATTAGACTGATTCCCCTATGATTGTCACAAGAAGACTTTTGTCCTTTCTTATAGATTGGGACAATCAGTGATTGAGACCAGTCGGATGGGATAACGTCCAGTTCCCAGATTCTACCTAAGATCTCAGTCAGCCTAGTTGCTAAAACTGGACCACCATCCTTAAATATCTCAGGGGACAGTCTATCAGGACCTGCTGCTCTAGTTCGCTTTAGATTTCCTATAGCTTTCTCAACTTCATGTAGACTGGGAGGACTTAAATCGATTTGCCATTCAGGATGACTGGGGATCGTGGGTAACCGAAGGGTGGCTCGAGGCCAGTTGAACTGATCCCTAAAGTGTTCTGCCCATCGATCCAGTCTCCTGGATTGAGAATCAATAATAGTCCCATCATTTTCTGAGATAGTCTCACTTACACTAGGATTCCTAATACCAGTTTCCTTGATAAGTCGGAAAAGTTGTCTAGTGTTGCCGATCGCCGCTGCCTTTTCCATCGCTTTTGCTTTCGCCACTCACCACTGTTCACGGTCGTCGCGTAGGCTTTTTATCAGCCTGTGCCTAAGCTGACTTCGTTCTTCATGTTCAGAGTCAGGTGGGATACGTTTTCGAGCATCGATCAGATCGCTGGATGCTACTGAGATCCATGGCTTCATTCTAGCTGAACTATTATCTAATACCGTCCTCTATGGTGATATATTACTTTTACACAGTGATGCAACAAGTGATTACTACTGCACTGAATGATCGGTTGTTACGTAAACTAGGATGAATTTGTCTCGAAAGCATGATTTACGACCTTGTATAAGAGATTTCAGCTATAAGTGACAAAGTAGTACTTGGATCGCCATATACAATCTGTTTACACAATGAAGTATGCGGTAAGCGTAAAAATAAGTAATCCTAAGGTAATTAATTAAATTCAACAGTAAACGAACTATATATCTGACTATCCACACTCCCACATGACCATCTTATTGTTTTACTAGTAGTCCCTACACATCACATCTTTATACCTACAGCATTCCACTACTCAATTTAATAATAGTGGTATAGTGAACGAGAACACAGTTGCGGCAACCGAATTGTAGTATTTAACGAAAATTACAGAGTTACTCAGTAAAATTGGAAAACCATATCGTAAATCGTTCATTTGCAAAATATCAGCTCATCATATCGAACTGGACTGTTCCTGTTGCAAAACATCAATCCATTGTCACTATTCATGCCTTTCTTGATCTTCCCCCATGTTCTGCTGCCAGACATTACGTTGACGCTCACGTCATATACTACTTATAAGTAGCTCACACCACAGTAGTAGTAGGCGCTAATTATCTCCATTTATCATAGTTGTATAAAATAATCTTGGTGAAGTTGATATTTAGCTTATTAGTATTCAAGTGATCGTGTTTTTCATTAACGAGATAAAATTATCAATGAATATGTCATTTGTGTTCTGCTTTTAAGCTTTATCAACAAACGATGAAAGTTTTTGTCAATTAATTCGTACACTGGTATCACCACCGTTCAATATGGATCTTCTTCAAATTTGTATACAACCAACTCTGCAAGTATTATATCAACGTTTAAATGATAGTAAAAATGTAAGTTGTATTGTTTTTGTGTGTGTGTGTGTGTGTGTGACGAAGGTTTTTTCCACTGTCCATTGTCCATTCAATAGTCTGAAAGTTTTTCAGTGTTCAGTAATTAGTTAAACAAACTCGCTCAAAAAAGTTTATTCATCCATCATTTAACTGTAATACTTTACGTTGTTAATATGTATCAAACATATGTGGTTTAAAATGAATTAGTCATAGGTGTAAATATCGCTGCGATTGTCCTAATAAATTGAGTCTTTATCGACTTTTGTGAATCGCTAAATAAGTAGTCGCGTCTGACTGCAAATCTGCTGGTTCTATGCTCGAGGAGCATCAAGAGTTTTACTTGGTGTTATTGATGATTATCGATGTATACCTTAAGTTAATCTCACGATATTATTCTTGTTATTTTAATTTATTTCTCTCTTATATTTTTATGTTTTAGTTACCAGAAGATATACTTCAAGCTACTAATCCAATTATTCAAAAAATGGATGCATTGAAAACGAAAGCTTCCAATTAATAATTCATGGTGAAATTGTTGTCCATCATTTGTTTCTTCAAACTAACTGGATGACTTTAGTTGTTCTTAGTCAACATAATGTATAATAAATCATTCATATAAACTTTCTCAGCTTTTCAGTTAACCTATTCAGTAGCCATAGCTCACTAGTGACAGCTAATTGATTGACTGAAAGTGTCTACAAACAAACGCCGCCAAGAAAAAATGATTTGAACTCAGCCTTGAGAGTTGGAAGGTCTTCATTTAGAAGAGTTATGCCGTCTAGTGATGAAAGCCGAGTTCCTCCGAAAGTCACGAGGCCGATGCCCCTTCTGTCAACTGGAGCCCTTCCACGGTGTGGACAGCCGGGAAGACCCTGACCTTATACCGAATAGCAAAACAGACTTCCTTAGCTAGGACTTGAGAATCTCGCTCTATTGATGTATAATGCATTTTCGAAATGCGCATACAGGATGCATGTAGTATCATTCATCTGACTTCAGCTTGTCAATACAAAGAACCGATTCAATTTACACTCTGTGTGTCTGGATATCATAATGCTGCTTCACGAGGTCTCGCTCGTGTATCTATGACATTGAGTCCTAGGGCAGACCTAGCTCCATAGATTGTATCTCAGTAGACAGATGCTTGTGTATTGTCTGACTAATGGAAAGTAAGGATCCGGGAAGATATCCATTTGTCGTTCCTGCCTATGCTCCCACTGGCTGCAGCTCAGATGAGATAAAAGATGAATTTTACCGAAGGTGTAGCAACATCAGCCAGTGACTTCAACGTTCAAATAGGCAGACTAAGCGAAACTAAAAGACACTTCAGTCAACTTCATGGTGTTTCGACTCACAACATACGATATCCTCTAGTCTTGCTGGCCGTGTTTCACACCCAGATTAGGATGGAGCGAACTGCTGCGCGGTAGACGTCCTTTGGTCAGCAGACGGCTATATTGCTACGCCATAGGTGACGCGTGCTGATATTTCGTCACACAACAGGCCATCAGCACTAATGAGCCGCGCAAGATAAGTGAAGCCGTCAATACGTTCAACCACTTCACTCCAAATAACTGGTTGAGGCGCAGACGCAACATGTTGAGGCAATCAGGAAAACAGTTGGACAGCTATGCAAGTGATGCTTACCACGAATCAGCTTGAAATGATATCCAAATAGCTAAAGATACAGCAGTGATATCTGCTGTTAAGGTGAACTACTAGGTTAGGGACAAATAGTTGGTTTCAGTAGCATCTCCTGAACTCATCTTGTCTGGCTCTGAACATGAAGAGCGTAGTCAGACAAAGCGCAGGCTGATAAGAAGCCTCCGCAATTATCGCGAAAGCAAAAGACTGAGGAGACAGCGGTGATAGACGACTGTTCAGACTCATCAAGAGAACCGGAATTAGGAATCCGACTGTTGGCAAATCTATCTCGGAAATGGGTAGGCTTATAATTCATTCTCAATCGAGGAGACTAGATCGATGGGCAAAGCGCTTTAGGTACCAGTTCAACTGGCCTTTAGTCACACTTCGGTTGCCCACCGCCTCCAGTCAACTTGAGTGGCAAGTCGATGTATGTCCTCCGGATTCTAATGAGGCTGAAAAAGGTGTAGCTAATTTGTTCACGAATTTCATGTCACCTGACTTCTCACATCATATATCTTTACTGTCAGTCCAGTACATTACAAACCCCGAATGTCGACGGTTCCGAGTTTATACTCCACTGTCGATTATCGATTTGGTATACCAGCCAGTACACGAGACCAAATAGTTCAAAACCAAATCCTTCCTGCACCCTGTATTATCGCTCTTATCTCCAAAACTAACTCTACTGACATTCCTTTATCTCACTGCACCGCTAATGCAGACGAAGTGAGATCACGAAACGTCGTTCCTGGTCTCTTGAAACCCCGTTCTAGACTACATGTTGGAGCATTTAATGTACGGACATTGTGTCAAATAGGGCAACAGGCATCATTAGCTAGGACTTTAGAAACTCGTGCCATCGATGTATGCTGCGTCTCGGAAACGCGCATACAGGATCTTAGTAAAGTCATTAACCTGATTCCATCTTGTCAAAACGAAGAAGCAGCCCGATTCACTCTTCGTGTATCCGGTAGCCCTGATGCTGCTTCCAGGGGTCTTGCTGGCGTAGGCATAGCGTTGAGTCCTAGGGCAGAATTATCTCTCCTAGACTGGATCCCAGTAGATAGTCGGTTGTGCGCTGTCCGACTAAACGGGACAGTAAGGACTCGTAAGGATAGGGACACTCACCGTTGCCTATTCGTCATATCTGCCTATGCCCCCACTGACTGCAGTGCAGACGAGGTTAAAGATGAGTTTTACAGAAAGCTTTCAGACCTCCTCCAGAAAGCTAGGCGCTCTGATATAGTAATAATGACTGGTGACTTTAATGCTCAAGTAGGTAGACTGAGTGAAAAGGAAAGACATCTAGGTGGATGTTATGGTGTAGCGACTGAGAGAACAGACAATGGCGACCGTCTGTTGCAACTATGCTCAGATAACTGCGAACACCAACTTTAGGCATAAGGAAAAGCATCTGTTGACCTGGCGACCCCCGAAGTCGTCTCAACGTTGAACTCAACTAGATCACATCGCCATCAGCCACCGATGGAGGGGTTCGATAGAGGACTGTCGCTCGTTCTGGGGCACATGTTTGGATTCAGATCATGCTCCAGTGCGAGCGCGTATTTTTTTGAGGCTTGCTGGACGTAGGAAAGACACCGTAAGAAAGCCTCTTAGGGTTTTACTTAATGTTAATCAAACTAAGAAAATATTTCAGGAGCAACTAGAAAGAGAGTTAAGCAACCATGCGAGCAATTCCCATCCACAAGCAGGTAGGTATGATATCAAAAAGGCTGTGGAAACAGCAGTGATATCTGCTAGTAAGGTAAACCATGAGGCTAGGATGAAGCCGTGGATTTCAGTCGCATCCACCGAACTGATGGATGCTTGAAAACGCATCCCACCTGACTCTGAGCATGATGGAGAGCGTAGTCAGCTTAGGTGCAGACTTATAAAAAGCCTACGTAACGACCGTGAACAGTGGTGGGTGGCGAAATGAAAAGCGATGGAAAAGGCAGCGGCGATAGGCAACACTAGACAACTTTTCCGCCTTATCAGAGAAACCGATATTAGGAACCCGAATGTAAGTGAGACTATCTCGGAAAAGGATGGTCTTATTATCCATTCTCAATCCAGGAGACTGGATCGATGGGCAGAACACTTTAGGGATCAGTTCAACTGGCCACGAGCCACTCTACGGTTACCCACGATCCCCAGTCATCCTGAATGGCAAATCGACGTAAGTTCCCCTAGTCTTAATGACGTTGAGAAAGCGTTAGGAAATCTGAAACGAGGACGAGCTGCAGGTCCTGATAGACTGACCCCTGAGATATTTAAGGATGGTGGTCCAATTTTAGCGGCTAGGTTGACTGAGATGTTGGGTAGAATCTGGGAACTGGACATCATCCCATGCGACTGGTCTCAATCACTGATTGTCCCAATCTATAAGAAAGGACAAAAGTCTTCTTGTGACAATCACAGGGGAATCAGTCGAACTAATATAGTATCTAAAATATTGGCCTCAATAATACTTCGACGCTTAACGAAAGCTCGTGAAGAGCAAACTCGAGAAAACCAATCTGGTTTTCGACCTGGACGTGGCTGTATAGACCACATTTTCACACTACGACAGGTCCTGGAACATAGACACAAATTTAGGCGTCCTACAATAGTTGTTTTCCTGGACCTGAAGGCGGCATTTGACTCTGTGGATCGTGAGTTTCTGTGGTAGTGTCTGTCATTGAAAGGTGTACCAAAGAAGTACACTAACCTTATACAAGCCCTTTACTCGAACACCACTGGTCGAGTGAGGGCTTATGGCGAACTGTCACCGGAATTCTCTACATCAAGTTGTGTCCGTCAGGGCTGTCCACTCTCTCCATTCTTGTTTAATTTTATCATAGACATGCTCCTAGAAATAACCTTATCCTCGTCTGAATTTTCTGGAGTAGACCTTCTAACAGGTGGCTCGCTTATTGACTTAGAATATGCCGATGACATTGTCCTACTTGGTGAAGAAGCTGACAAAATGCAGAGTCTTCTGATCACCCTAAACAACAATGTAGAATCTCTTTTGAATGTTTTGTTTTTTGGAAAATCCCTCCGTGTTTATATATTTTTGTTATGACATGACTGACTCTTTCTGTTGACATTTTGGTATTTTATTTGATTCCATTTTGAGACTTTATCATTGTTTATTGTTATTATTTCTATATTTTGTACTTATATTGAAGTTTTTATGTTTGCTTGTGAACTGTACACATGTTGTTTAAATTTGATATATAATATGGCTACAGCCATATTTGGATTTGATATCGTCGCAGTATACTAGCTTCACCTAATCTTTTGAACTCCGATACTCATCAGAGTAATTTCGACTTGGAAGGCGTAATAATTGTCAGGTATTTGTTTGTATTTCCATTTTTTCACATAAATAGACCACTTTCTCCTAGAATTATTGTGTTTTGATATTCGACTAAGGGAAGGTGCGTTCGACATAAGTCTATTGGAATCGAATTGAACTGCTACGGTAGAAAATTCAACTACAGTCTGACAATTAATAAGAACGAGTCAGCTACAGTCTAACAATTAAGAAGAACAAGCCTACTACAGTCTGATTATAAAGAAGAATAAGGAAACATTTGGAATTTTAATCGTTTACAATATTAAACTTCTTGGAAGAAGAACTTTGGATTACTTATCTCTTTTTTTGATCGAACTGTATTTTGGAAAACGATTTTCTGATTTCGGATATTTATTATCGAGGATTTACCGGTGGAATTTCTATATTTTGTATTTGTTATTTATCTTCCGTTGAACTTCAATTAACCATGAGCAGCCGAAAGAAAACAAACACGAAGAGGGTGGAAGAGCATGAGGAATCCCGAAATGCTAGGCAAGTCGTTTATGATTCTTCTTGTTTAATGGGTT